CCAGGAACCAGTCAGAGGGGCAGTGTGGCTGACTGAGTACAAGGCCAGGTGGGGACAGGTTGCCTGGTCATTAGCAAAACTGATGTCCTTTTTCCTCTGGGATTGTGTGTGCGGATTCCACAGTGGACCTGCCAGTCCAGCAAGGGTTGAGAGGGGCAGAAAGGGAAAGTCAAGTGGATAAATGCCCAGACTGCAGGAACATATTCCCCACAGTGCCTCTGACTCAGTGGTAGCTTCCAAGAGACTCAACATACTCCCCTTTCCCTGGAGTAACCTGAGCAAGTTTCCACTCATGCATGCCAAATAACATTACACAGATCCTCACAGCCTGTCTCACTTCGATACCATAGGTGCTTTGTAATTCGGGAGCTCCCATGTGCACGTATGTGTTTGCAGGCGTGGAGTGTGGCATGCAGTAGTGCATGGTTGAGTGTGAAGAAGCAGGCCTTGCCAACACACACTTAAACTTTCATCTGTCGTTAATAAGAGGACCCCTGGCTTAGCGAGACCACCCGGCCAGTCCTGACAAGTGTTCCTCCTGCTTTTTCCTGCCCTGGATCCTTCCTGACTCCATAATCTTTTTTTTAGATTGAGATATAATTCATATAACATATATTTCACATAACACCATTCTGAAGTATACAATTAAGCTGTTTTTAGTATATTCACAAGGTTGTGCAACCATCACTACTCCAATTCCAGAACATTCCCAAAAGAAACCCAGTCACTCTCACTCTCCCCTCCCGCGGCCTCTGACACCACTTAGCGACTTTCTGTCTCTATGCACTTGCCTATCCTGAGCCTGGCTTCTCTCACTTAGCATAATGTTTTCAAGGTTCATTAGTGTTGTAGTATATGTATCAGCATTTCATTCCTTTTTATTGCTGAGTAACATTCCATTGTGATGTAACACATTTGTTTATCCATCATTAGATGAGCATTTGGGTTGTCTGCACTTTTTGGCTATTATGAATACTGCTGCTGTGAACATTTGTGTACAAGTTTTTGTGTGGACATATGTTTTTAATCCTCGTGGATACATATCCAGGAATGGAATTGCTAGGTATCTCTGTGTTTAAGCTTTTGATGAACTGTGAGATTGTCCTTAGATTCTTCAAAGGCAACTTAGCCTTAACAGAATTTCAGCATCACTGAGAAGCACCTCTTCCCCCAAATATTCCCATGGTTTCTGCCATGGATGAAACGATTTAAACAGGGCTTAGAACTCCTCCCTTCATAATAAGCATTAAGGTTTAAAATGCAATACTGGTCAGCAAGGTAACATAGTGACTTAGACTCTCACCAAAATGTAATTCAGATTTTTTCTCAGAGAAATTTAGATGAGAGGGAAAAGAAAACTTGTCAGAACACCAGGAATCTCCTAGGGGAAGAGGAGGAGCCATAGAGTGTGAGTCGGGTGGGGTGTGCACATTTAAAGGGCCAGCTTCAGCGCTTCCTATCAGGACCACGTGGGCTCTTGTTTTGCCAATTCATTTATAGCACAGACTTTATGCAGGAGTGCTCACTGAGCCAGGCATTTAAGGGTGAATAAGACAAGGTCCCTGAGGAATTCAAAATCTAGTGGATTGGACAAGATGGCCTGATTGTCATGGCCCTAGGGCTTTACCCTGAGATCACCGTCCCTTCTTGGATTTGACATTGAAATGTCCTCTCCTTTAGAAGGGATGGTGATGGGAGGTGGAAACAGAGTATATTCCTTGAGCATCTAATTTGGCAGCATACAAAAATTTAGCAGCCGTATGTTGGTCTAACAAATGTTATTGAAATATTACTTGCTTTTGAAATCTACCCCCTTCCCGGCCCTATCTTAAGATCTGAGTGTAGAAGAAAAACAAGATAGTTATTAAGAGAGAATAGTTATCTATCCAACTTGATTCCCATATGTATTAAAATGGATAAAAAAAGCAACGTTGGAGAAGTTAGGATTAACCTAGACAGTGAGCTCCACAGGGGAACTGGTTCCCGTGATTCCGCCAGGCTTGGAGTTAGGAGAGCAGAATCCAGGCTTTGGGCTCATTCCTGGCCAACTTGGAAGGGCAGCCTTGATGTCATGTCCCTCGTCTTACCCACAGGGCATTCTTTTTATCCATGGCTCTTGGTAATTTGAAAGGATGGAAATGAAAGAAATAGAGGATCTTGGCTGTGGTCCCATGTGTTCATGGGAAAGTGTGACTTGGCACCCAATTTACCTCATTGGACCTCAGGTTCCACACTGATGACACTATAGCAAGAGCTTAGCTCAGGCTTACTATCATGCCATGCACGACTTTGAGGACTTTGGATATCTACTTATTTAGCCCTGCAACAACTGAATGAGAATGGATCTGTTATTTTTCTTGTTAATTTGCCCAAATTCACACAACAGTCCATGGTGGAGCTAAGAATTTTAGCTGCCTATTGTCAAGGCTCATTCTACTTCTTTTTAAATGTATGTGGGCATATTCTAAATTAAATCATTAATTCTCTATCACTATCGTGATACAAGAATAGGTTATTTTTTCCTTTTTTCTAGAAAGAGAGCTCCCTAATTTGACATTGAGCATCACTGTGTGTCCCCTCACGACAATGCTGCTCAAGAAATATTGGGGAAAGGATGATAAAGCACATATTCCACACTGACTTTATAAGCAAATGTATATGAATATTAACATTATTATGAGCTGTGCTAGAAATTCCAGTTGCTAGCATTTTGCTAGGATAGTCTTCCCATCTCTAAAACATTGTGATTAAGCATAGAATTCGGGTGTGGCTTTTGCACAACTGTGAAATGACATGTTGGAGAAAGAGCATGTGAGTGAGAGGCAGACAGAGCCGGCAGGAAACGACCCAGCCCACAGGTTGAGTTTGAGCTCCACCAGGAACCTCCCGCTCCCATGTCCGCATCTCCTGCAGCCTGGCTCTCCTGGACTTCAAGATCCAGCTGTGGACTGAAGGCAAACATGTCACCAAACAGCATGAGTGTAACTCACAAATGTGAACTGGAGGGAGTGGCCCATTCAGAGGGAACACTGATTTAAAGCAAGTCTTGAGGGACCTGTCACACCTGGAAGCAAGTGGGAAGTTTCCCATACTTTTCTAGTTGATAAAACTTTTTCATTAGCAGATCGTTTCTTTGCGTATGAGTGGAGGATCATTACAGCCCTGGTGGCCATTTTGGGGTGTGTGGGGCAGGTCTGCTAAGCCAAGTTTGGCTCTCTAGATACAGCTGCTGCTCACCACTCGCTTGCAGGCTGAGGGGGTGGCCGGTTTTGGTAGTGGACGGAGGAGGTAAAGTAAATCCTAGTCACACCAGCAGCTTTCCCCCACCTCATCCCAGACATCCTGTCTTCCCACTCGTCTTAGCTGTGATGTTAGATTCCTCCTCCTGACACCGACTTCTGAGGACTGAGCTTCTGGTCCAGCACCTTTTCCTCTCTGCACACTTGCCCCAGTTGCATCCATGCATTTCCACTCTGTATGCCATCAGTGGGCTGGTGACACCCACACTGGGTCATCAGTCTCTCTTCTCAGCTCCAGGCTCATACAACCAACTGTTGGCTTGATCTCTCCCCTTGGAGATCCCTTTGGCATCTCAGACTTAACTTCTCCGAACTGGAGCTTGATACTTTCCTTTGCCCCTCCATAAGCAACACCTCTTGGTTTTCTATCACAATAAATGGCACCATGACCCACCCTGTTGTCATCCTTGTCCCCGCTGTCTTCTGCCTCCCTCATTCAGTCCACCACCGAATTCTGTCCCTTCGGTTTCCAAGGTCAGCTCCATGGCTACCACCTGACCCAAGAACCCTCAAGCCTGCCTCCGTCTTACAATTCTCTACACAGCAGCCAGGGTGACCCTGATAATCTCACTCATTGAGCCATGGTCACTCATTGCATTTGGAAGAAAATCCAAGTTACTGGGGATGGCTCTAGGCACTTGGGAGGGTCTGACCCCACTGACCCCTCTCACCTGCTTATGGCCACTCTGCCATTACCCACCCACTCCCAGACTGGCTTCCTGTCAGTGCCTGGGGCATGCCAGCAACCCTCCTTGGGCTCTTACCATTGGCCCCTCTCAGTGCCCATCAAAGGAGACGGTGCCTGACCCTAAGGATGAAGAAGGGATGGGGCTGCCACGCAACCACTCTCTCCTTGAACTCCACGTTCACACGTTGCTCCAATAGTTAAATCCAAATATTGTGATTTCCCAGATTCTATGCTATGGAATCTCTTTCACAAGCATGAATTTTTAGATTTACAGACTTAAAAAATATAATAGCACTAATTTGTTGCTGCCCAGAGAGTTATATAAAATAACTAGTTAAACACAGCTTTTGTTATCAAATTAGCAAACTTATCTAGAACTTCCTGATTAACATTCTTCTGGGGTAACATTATTCTCTAATAGTCATAGAAAGAATTTAAAATAGCAAAAGAAGAATAGGAAAATGAGTATTTCAGGGAAAAACAATGAGCCAGCCTGGGCACCAGAGACCTTTCCTTATTTCTGTTCATTACATATTTTCATCAAATATTTACTCATTATATTAAATACCATCTACTTTCAAGGTTCTGGTCTACTTTTAATATGCATAAAATGACCACTCATTAATTAAAAGCTTGGGCTTGACTGCAGATGTTGATATTATTTTAAAATTTAATTTGGGAGCCCCTGCTCCAAACGAAAGTGTAACAACGAATATCTAATTACATTATAATTTACAGATATGCCTTTAACTTTATAGAAAGCCAAAAATGAAAAGAACTGAACCAATGGTCAGGATAATACAGCTGCTTCTGGTTCTTCCCTGAAATTCTGATTCCTATTGGATTTTTAGTTTTCCATCCACTTTGGATGTCTATTTATAATCATGTCTCCTTTTGAAAGTTGATTTTTGTAACAAGATATGAATTATTTGTTCCTTACATTCAAGAGACTTCAGTCATCTTGGGAGGGCACGAGCCTATTGTCAAAGACACTAGGCTTTGCTCAGACTTACTATTGTGCACAGTCAATCAGCTGGTATTCGTTTGACCTCTCAAAGCATGCCTTCACACCTTCATCATCCCAAAGTTTCTTCACATGATCAAAGAATTCCTAAAATTTGAAATAGTTACAAATAAGAAAACGCTTGTGATAATCTTTCAAAAAATTAAAAGTAAAAAGAAACTGCCAAAAAAATTCTGCAGGTAGCATATGAACTGTTGTCTTTGTGGAAGTCTACTTTACACACAGTAAAATGGACAGATCTTGTGTTCAGTGTGATGAAAAATGGATGCATCTGTGGTATCACTCAAATCAACTTGTCAAACATTACCATTCCAGAAAGTTCTCCAAAAAGACAATTACAAGGCAAAAGTGAATGACATTCATTAACTATAAATTCAACAGCTATTTTAACAACTAACAATTTTAACTCAGTAACTTCACTAGTGGAATTGGCACTTTAGCAATAAGAAACCATGCTTATTATAATGGTAAGTTCTGTTTTAGCTTCTGTCTTTTCAATATTCTATGTGAGCCATGATTATGAATAGACATGGTTGAGCAGATGTGCTAAATTCAACCCAAAAGCATTAAGCACATAAGAAAGAAACCTTCACAATTCTACTCTTTCGGGACAGTAATTTATTGTTTTAGGGATGTTTAAGAAACTACGATGGAAAGTGAACAGTGATTTTAGTTGCCTCAAGCCCATGCAATTTCACTCATCATGGCAAGAAGTATCCTCTGAAACCAGAACTTTCTTTATCTGGGTTAAAGGTGGCTGGCTTTATGAGTTCCTATTTCCAAAATTATCTGTTAAGTGAGCAGTGCTGTAGAAGCAAATGACTATACATTAATTGCTAAATATAAAAGAAGTTACTTTAAATTTTCACAAAGCACTTCAAGAGAATTTCTATTCTGCTTCCCACATCCATCATTTGCCCCCCACAGCATCCGCAGGAAGCCCCCATTTCTATGTTTGATCTGCACAGAGGGGTCTGTGGCTTCACGCCAATGCCTTTATGGTCAAGGTGGTGCCATGTTCCCTACGATGCAGCAGACATTCTTTGGAGAAAAAAATAAAGGACTGGTACTTTTCTTCAGAGATTCACAATTCCATATAAGGGTGGATTCAAATATTGTGGGGCCTGGTGCTTATAGAATTTAGGGAGCCCTCTTCAAAAAAAGAAATATTATGAATACAAAATTAGGTACAAAACCTTGGAAGGGGGAATAGGAATAAAGGAACCTGAGCTTAAGCTTCATTGGGGTCTAAGTACATCCTCTTCTGACTTCCCAGTATCAGGAACAATCTTACAAGGATGCCCCCTGTCTCTGTATCTATTGCCTGTCTGCCTGCCTATCATTTTCATCAACAAATCCAAACTGACAAGGAAGGGAGAATCTCCACGTGAAGCTAAGAAGCTGAAGCTCTCCCTTCTCATCATCCTAGGTTCTGGGCCCTCCCACTACTGCTCTTATCACTCCATGGAAGGGGTGGTAGTTTTTATTAGAGAATATTTCCTTCTAAGAGCCATATGAAGACACACACACACACAGAAAGAGAAATCATTTGTTATGCTATTTCTGAGGAGGTCTGGAGGGCAGTCCTGGGGAGCCTGGGAGTGAGCCCCATTTGTCCCCCAGCTGCAAACTGGGGAGTGCAGTGCATGGTCCTTGAATAAAGTTCCTTACTGTCTAGCAAGGGCTGCAATGATTTTATTTTTAACAATCTGAGCTGAAGCCTTCAAGACAGAATTACAGAGGAGTGCTTGACCCAAGCATCAAGACACATGACTTGGGGGATACATGTTGATGGTAGGTATAAAACAAGAATTGTGGGCACTGTGATTTAAAAATAAATAATTTGGACAGCACCAAAGAAACACAAAACAACAATCTCTCTTTGCTCCAGCTTCATTGTTGGTAAAGAAAGATGTTGGGATTAGAATACAGCTGGGTCTCCAGGATTCTCCATGGTGAATTTTTAAGGTGTTCTAAAAACTTCATGGGAAATTTCAGAGTTGTTGTTGCTTCAACTTTTCATTAGGGAAAATGTCAAGCTTATGAAAGTAGAGAGCAATACCCCAGGCACTCATTACTCAGCTTGCACATTTGCCAACATGGTCAGTTTTCTTTTATCTCAATCGCCTGCCTTTCCCCCATCTTTATTATTTTGCAGCAAATCTCTTAAACCGTATCATTTTATTTCAACATCATTTCCAAAAGATAACAGATTTCAAAAATCACAGTCACAATACCATCTCAACTAAAAATACATAAACAAATAAAGAAATGACACTGTATAATCATTAAATATTCAGTCAGCCAGTGCAGCTTCTTTAGCTTTAATTAAACAGTTGTCCAGAGCCAGTCTAGAATTCTCATCCATTTGCTAAAACAACTGGGAAATAAATGTGAGGAATAATTTTAGTATGCCTCCATTAGCAACTGAGATGAATAATATCATATAAAAATAATTTTGGTGTTTGTGTGTCTGTGTGCTTGAAAAGAAACAACGATTCACAGAGAAATGTAACCTGTTTTTGGCATCTGTGAGTATACAGAAATGGATAGCATTAAGAGGAAATAACTGAGATTTCTTATTTTCTTCTGTATTCCTGAATATGAATCTCCTCGTGCTCTTCATATATTCAACTAAAATACATGAACATTTATGTTACTCTTATTCAAAGGGGTTTAGTTGAATTATAGAAAATAAAAATTATAATGATACCAAATTTAAACCTACTTAAAAAAAACGAGTCTTTAAATTTGCCTTTGATTTGATTCTTAAATCAAAATTTAAACAATAATTCAAAAAATTTGAAATACTTGACTACTCCATTTTATATCATAACATTTTCCTTTTGGTATTGTTGTCTGCATCTGCCTTTATGAAGTATATTCAGAGCTAACCTGGATTCTCAGCTAAGTAACAATTTTTTCTTTCTCTTTTAAATTGTTCATTAACTGCTCTAAGATGGACACAAACATGAAAATAGGAAATGTAAGAATAAACATTCTTGTGTGACATCTATGGTAATATGATACAATAAAATAAGTTTTTGGTTAACTGATACTTGAGACACACTTTTCACCCTTAAAATAAGAATAAAAAACATATTTTTTACATCTTAAAGTGAATGCTCTCTAAGAGTTTGGAGTCAGAGCTCTAGCTACACACACAGATCTCAGGCAGAACTGCTTTCATACTTGGTGCCCTGCCCTAAGAGTGGTGGAAATTGTCACTGGGTTGAGTGTAAAAATGTTCCTTATGCTCACTGTACAATATTTCTTCAGGATGACTGATGGAGAGTATTTCTTTCTCATTTTAGTGCCAGGAATATTTTCTGAATCTCTCAAGCAATTGCTTTTTACATTTTATGATTAATTTTTAACCTTATGGGACCCTGTTATTTTTCTATTGCTTTAATTTATGTCACAGAGTTGACTGCATGAATATTTAGAAATCACACTTTGGGGTCAGTCTTAGTTGGAATGTAGGGTTTTTCCTTATGACATGGTTACTAAATTGATATCTGGTTCTACATAGCTTACTCTCCTGTTCCTAACTTCATTCTCCTGCATTTTCAGTTATTTTATTAACTTCTATTATAACTTTGTGAATAGCACTTAATCCTTTCTGGAACAAGTTGAAGCATAAACAAATGTTTAATGTAACTTTTTATGGGTACATAGTGAATAAAATCCACTACCATAATCAGATGGACCTTAGAAAGAGGCAGTTTCAGGTAAGTAGCCACTTAAATGGAATTTTCTAAAGCTCAAGTTTAGGGCTAATTTAAAATACACCCTCACCTACTCAGCTTTTTCCTTGGGGGTAACAGAATGATTTAATAGTTTTCTGTCATTTCTTTTTTCACATATGTGGTGGATATCAAGTTAAAAGTCTGTGTGGATCTCATGCCTGGTAACACTATGATTTTGTTATTTATAATCGCTGTCCATCCACAGATCTAATTTAATATATTATGTCTAAAATTCAATTTGGAACAGCTTTCAGAAACCATGCCAAAAACAAAACAAAACAAAACAAAAACACCTCAACAAACCAAACTAATTATTACTAGCATGTTCCTGTAAAAGGTCTCGTCTGAGTCTCAAACAACCCTGCCATGTAGGTGATTCAATTTCCATTTTACAGATGACAACATGAGAATGATTAGGGATACTTTATCCTTGCTCAAGCCCCTGACTAGAAGCCTGCAGGCCTGGATTAAAAGCATGGCTCTGAGTCTAGCGAGCTTCCTTCTTCTGTGGCCGGCAGCTGTTCTTTGCCCCTGGGAGACCAGGGAGGGCAATGCAAATTCACAATATACAAAATACAGTGCACTCATTTATTTTCCCCCTCTTAAGACAGCCTACTTTTAGCTACTCATAGAATCATTTTTAACAGCATTTTGAGGGATCTTATATCTGCTGTAAAGTTCACCCATTTATTTTTATAGTCATGCAACCACCAACACAAGTTTTAGACTAGTCCCATCACCTCCTGGTCTTCCTCCTGAGCCAAGCCCTGCCCCACCCCTGGTCTCAGACAACAGTTAATCTACTTCTGTCTCTATAGTTTTGTCTTTTCTAGAAATTTCATGTAAACGAAATCACCTAGTCTTTGTGTCTGGCTTCTTCCATGTAGCATGATATTTTGAGATCCATCTGTTTTGTTATGTAAATAAGCAATTTGTTCCTTTTTTAGAAAAATTGCTGAGTTCTATTCCACTGTATGGATATAGTCACATTTTATTTATTCATTCACCAGATGATGGACATTTGGGTTATTTCCAGTTTTTGACTGTTATGACTTGTGCTGTTTGGAATATTTGTATACCAGTCTTTGTATGAATTTTTCTTTTTCTTGAGTTGATACCCAGCAGTAGAATTTCTGGGTTATTTGGTAGGTGAATGCTTGACTTTAAAACACTGCCCAACTCTTCCAAAACAGCTGTTTCATCTTACATTGTCAAGAGCAATGTGTCTAGGGGTTCTAGTTTCACCACATCCTCACCAATACTTGGTTTTGTCAATCTTCTTAATTTTTATTACTCTACTGGATGTGCAGTGACACCTGATTGTGGTTTCAGTTTGTA